AATAATGGGAGATATTGTTTATAATGACGACCATGTCTTCATTTAAAGCTTTAATTCCTTCATTGTCACGTTTCTGGGCACACTTCCCAAGATCGCGAACAATAGCTTGGTTATTTGTTAAAAGACACTGTAGGTCTGAATAATCAACCTGTACTGTATAATATTAATACTGCATCCATCCGTAACTTATTCCTTTAAAATAGTTAAGAATAGCAGATGAATTGTACGATATGCCAAATACAAAAGCATAAACCTTCATCCCAGGCACCGTGGACTATCCCATTAAACAGATCGACAAATCCTTTATAAATATTGTTAGTTGTTACAATAGACAAATATATTGTGCAGTTAGTGTGCAGTGTGTATACAGGAGTATCTGACAAACTTTTCGTCAACTTGAAGGTCAGTATTTCAACCATCAATAAAGTGTGTGTGTGTGTGCGTGTGTGTGATACTATTTCATTAAGTACGAAATTTACTTTTGATAAGGAACCTTTTCATACTATAAATATTTATATTTGGCGTCGTAAATTTTTGAGCATATTTGCGAAATAAAAATTGTTTGTAATTAATATATCTATAATATAATATTTGCGCGAGTTTTTATATTTTTCTTTTTGAACTATTTTACGAATTCGTCTAATAGATATCTCATGCAGCTTTGGAAAAAAAGGATCACTACATTATCAATACCACCAGATGAAGCTGCCGCTGACATTTTCTCTAACTCAAACAAATAAAAACCAACATTTATTAGGTCAGCAAGCGAATTACCGTTGTCTCTTGATGGAGCATCTTCTGCTAACAGACCAAGCAAGAGATGGTAGTTTTATCCTGACTGCAGCTGTTACAACAACTGTTCTGAGTAGTTACGATCTTGAAATTAAGCAACCCTTTTCTTTTAACAGTTGCTGGAGTTGTGTTAGACATCCAACTAATTGTGCTTTTTTACTTTCAACACATTTCGACTGTTCTTACAATACAATTATTATGGGGGTTTTTTTTCGTGTTTTTCTTATTTCGAAGTCTTATGTATGCTTTCCATACATGTCACTCTCCGATTTTGTGGCCTACTACATCATCTACAACATTTGCATAATAACTTGATTGTGTAAAGAATAATTTATTAACTGAAGTTAGAAGCCCTGTACGTTTAATTCTTCCGCATAATCTACAAACTATAGCCCAATCCATATTATATGTTGGTTAAACGGTTTGCATCCTTTTTCCTTCTGATACTTTTATTAGTCCGTTTGTTCAAGCTCTGTTTTTCCACCTAATGTTTAAAAAAATCAACTTAGTTACAATCGATCGTGTCATAGTGCTAGGTCCTAACTTTATCTTGAAACTATATTTTCCAAAATTTTATCTATCTTTAATTTGCCATAGAATCAAGTTTTCATAATAAACCATTTTCGAGTCTTTTTTTTATTCCTTTGTAACTTTTATGTCATTTCTTTTCAGGTGTTAGTGTTTTAGTGTGTGTGTGTGTGTGTGTGTGTGTGTGTGTGTATGTGTGTGTGTGTTCGAGTCCTTTTCTGATCTAATCCTTGGACTCATAAAAAGTCTATAGTGAAAAAGTTGTTCTCAGGCTAACATCTGTTTTTGTATCAGAATCATACAGTCTAATTTCAGTTAAAGGTTCTTCGATATTTACATAATCGTCAACGTCTGCATCTACCACATCTTCATCTTCACATAACAGATTTTAATTTCAACAGATTTATCATCTTGTACTACTTGCTCCACGTGGTCTCTAATATGATCTTATGGATAAAAGATAAAGGTAATGCTTGGTGTTATTGAAAACAAATAGCAATAAGACAATTCCTCAAGGACTGAAGAATAAACACAAATTTAGAAGTATACTTTAAATTTCTATAATTTCATTTTTTTAAAAATTTTTGTTTGCAGAATATGAATCGTATGACTACAATATTTGCAATCTTTCTCCACCGCATTGTATACTTTTAAGCATCTGCCCATAATGTTAGTCATTTATGCAATAAATTTGCGATCTATGTGTCTAACCTCTCTAAATGATCCACTGAAAATTGGGCTACAGCAACCTAAAAGCACTGATTTATAGCCTTTTATTAAATTTCCAAATTGTTATGTCTCTTTGCTTATCAGTGAATTTTAAAGATAACATTATTTTAAAAAATCTGACCATTTCAATTTCCTTTTTCAGAAAATTATTGCACGTCTGATAAAATTAAACAATGAATGTAATTTGTAAAGGGGGCGATTTCTCACCGCGTAGATCGTTTGTAATTTTGAATCGTCAATCTTCGAACATTTACTGAATATAGCAGAGCTGTTATGTCATCTATTTGCTGTTGAGACCTAGGATTGTTATTGTTTGGGTAAATCATTGTAACAAGACCGTAGCTTGGATGAACATACCAGCCCCGACATATAATGATGGAAATGTTGCCAAATATTTCGATTGTTTACTAAACATCTTTGTGAAGCTGATATGCTTCCTCGTTTGGGCCATGAATATCTGTGTTTGCTTTGATCAGAAAACAAATCCTGGCAGTAAATGAATTCAATTGTTAGGCTTGATTTCTACATTATCACAACCTGTGATACTAACATTTTATGAATTGCAAAATAAACACGTTGAGATGCAGAAACAAGTACCACTCTTGAATTACCATTTTTCATTCAAAAAGACACGAATATTACCCTTTCTAACTCTAGTGATCAATTCTAAGTAGATAATTATTTAATAATTATGCAATAAACAAATTTATTCAATTATATGTAAGAACAGTAAAAACAATGACAATAAATAATAACCATTAAAACATGGCTGCCTCCGACTTTTGGTACGAGAATCAGCATTGTGGTGGTGGGTGGGAGTGAAAGAAGTATCAGAACTCGAGTATAGACTACTTATGAAATTGGGTGAATTTTTTTTCCTGGAAATTTGTCGTTTTCGGCAAAGAGCAACATCACATTTTCAGTTGCAGTGACATTCCCCTTATACCTAGCAAACCTAACATCGATATTCTTCTATATCTGCTTGTGGGTAAGCCACATAGTGTGTGTGTGTGTTTGTGTGTGTGTGTGTGTGTGTGTGCAAAGACCATAATGTATAAATGTATACTGATAGGCAGTTATATAATATGAGGCTAAATGATGCTAATAAGAACAATAATCGAGCATCATTGTCAGAGAGGCGTTATCTTAAATGGTTTTCTATGAAGTTTGCATTTTCGAAAGTATAGGCGATACAAAAATTACTTTTTTTTTCTTTGGTAAAACCAATGTTGTCAGACAACCTTTCTCAAAGTTCATCAACAACCGTTTTCTATATAACCGTTGCATATTTTAGCTCTCAAACATTTTAGAAACTATCAGGGACTAATAGAATAAAACGGGCAAACTTAAACATATCATATACAATAAAAATTGAAGCTGGTGGGTGGACTGAAGCAAAAAAAGATCCCGAGATAGAATATAAAAAATGTTAATGTTTAACTTTAGAAGACGAATATCATTTTCTTTTTAATCTTCTTGGTGTTCGGAATAGATAAAAAGTATTTTCCCAGGTACAAATAGGAAATCCAGACTGTTTTAACAATGTTGATTTCATATATCTATCTACTGAAGCTCTAAAAAATAATGCTAAGTAGTCTATCTATGATACTTGATTACAAGGCTATTTAATCCAGTTATAATTCGAAATTATGAAAAGTAACAGCAAAATAATGTATATAGTGCATATATTTGATGCAAAATTGTTAGATTATGGTTGTTGTTGTTGACAATTACATAAATACTATATCTATGGGATATATCTAAATATAAACTTGTAAAATTACATCATTCCATCAATTTCACTTATAGAGCTTATGCCCTAACCATTATCCATTTCAATGTGTACAATTATCTAATTGACTTTTCTTAAACTTATATCCTAATCTTTATTCCCGAAACTTTGTAATTGGCGTTGTTACAAAGTCACATTCCAATTAGTTTACAACGCTTTGTTTGTAATAATAATAATTAAACCATTTTCGTCTGGTCCTACGTAAATAGGCTAAATTAATCCTATTCAAACCCTGAGAGATGTCTTGGCCAAGATATAGTTCATTAAATATCTTCTTCCTCTTCTGAAGATCTCAAGGATTTGAAAACAAAATAGACGGACATTGTTCGATCCTTCAAATTAGCCAGTGGCTTGCAAAAATTCGTAAATGCTTTGAAGTGGGGGATGAAAAGACGTTAAAAGCAAAATATTAATCACAAATTGCAATAATAATAATAATAATAATAATAATAATAATAATAATAATAATAATAATAATAATAATAATAATAATAATAATAATAATATAACAAACTGTTGGTATGCTGTATTTGTATTTAAGGTTCTTTATATTGCTTTGTTAGGCTTCAGTAATTGTTTGATTGTAGGAAGTAGTGGTTGGGAAACGTTTCTCGAAACGGGTGGTTAGTAATTTAAAAACGGGAAGGTTCATTGTATTGTGTGTTTTGTTCATGTTTGGTGGTGGGTTGCGTGGGGTGTTGGTCTCCAGATGAGGCTGATATGCTTACAGTATGCAGATATGTGGTAGGAAGGGTCATGCGGGTGTGAGGTTTGAGTTTCGTGGATACGTGGTCCGTAGCTGGATAGAAAAAGGTTGTTTATGGACTTGGCGCGTTTTACAAAATTGTCTTGTGATCCATTGCATTAGGAGAAACCAAATAAGACCTCAAGCCAGACTAATACAGTTGTTTGATTTCCATGGTAGTGAGACTGCTTGCGTAATAATAATAATAATAATAATAATAATAATAATAATAATAATAATAATAATAATAATAATAATAATAATAATAATAATAATAAACATGTTGCCGCAGACATGTTGCATGATGTCCCACAAAGTCATATTATCCTGACACTAGGCCGACCAGTACTAACAATAATCTCTTAATGCTGAACGCCAAGCGAGGCAGCTGTTAGTACCATTTTTGTAAGTCTTTGGTATGACTCGAACGGGAATCAAACCCAAGACCTCTCGCATCCGAGGCGGACGCTCTAACCATTAGGCTACAGGTCCGGTTAATAATAGTAATAATAATAGTAATAATAATAATAATAATAATAATAATAATAATAATAATAATAATAATAATAATAATAATAATAATAATAATAATAATAATAATAATAATATGCAGAAGAAGAAGATGATAATGATGATGATGACAGAAAGAAAATAAGGAAAAAGTAGACGAAGACTACGTTTTTAAGTTTATGACAAATTATTGCAGACATGTTAGCTGTTTGCTTAATATTGTAATAAGTGACGTCAGAGGACATGTAGTAGTTGTAACTTTACAGGATATAACAAAATTCCCTGCCCACGTGGGTTCAAGTTTCGAGTTTGACCAATGATGTGATGTGAGTGTGTGAGAAAGCTGTCCGTAATAGTGTGTGTTATTTGTTTCACTGATAATTATATGCACAGACCTAGAAAAGTTGTGTATGTGTATGTGTATTGTATGTGTGTGTGTGTGTGTGTGTGTATATATATATATATATATATATATATATATATATATATATATATATATATATATACACACACATACATACATTAGTTTGGATATCAGTTTCATTATCAGTAACTGTGCATCATAATGAAGTAGTGTATCATTTACATAAATTATGCATTGGATCAGCAAAGATTTTCAAGTCAATTCCTTTTGCAATGATATTAATTGAAAAACTCGTCAATATCATTGAGAAAAAAAAGGTCAGGGAAAATATTTTTGGCATATGAAAATACTGGAATAATCATAAGGTCTCATGCAAATTGCAATAGCATTGAACATTTTCTATATAACATAGAAAACCTTTCCCTGAATATTGACTTATGTAACATTTTTCCGTAATCCTAATCCACTGACCAAACTCATTTATTGCCTTTATGGCTATTCCTACCCGTGTTTGCATGTTTCTCTTTCTACCCGTGTTCCCAGCTTTCTCTTTCATTTTAAATATTAATATTACTTTATTTGTTGTGTTATTCATTTATTGTCAGTTTGTATTTTCTGCTAGTGTCTATCATGTTTTATCTTTTTCCAGTTCTATTGTATTTAAAATTCAATATACTATATAACCGTTCTGTCTAGAGAATTTAATTTTTTTTTCCTTTTCGAGGCACCAGATAGATTCCCCTTTACTACTTAACCGAAAAATACTAACAGTAAAGTGTTTTATGTCTTTGTGTATTCCCCCTGATGTGTTGCTATGTTTACATTATAAACAGAATTTTTATTAAAATAATATTTTTAACAATTTTTAATAGGGTATTTTCCTAGTGTATTTAAAGGTTCACTCATCCGATAAGGTTTCATTTACCTTATCGGGGTCGTTCTCCTTGTTCATATTTGTACGACCGTGGCCAAGGGTTCCCTATGTCCTATGTATGCTATGTGTATTGTAATATAATGTGTGTTGCTATATAGTGTATTTATTAGAACAGCCGCTTTACCGAATTCAATTTAAATGCTTGCTTGGAGTTCTCTTACGACTACAAACAAATTTACCAATCGTAATGTATAAGGCACTGGTATCAAATGATTGCTGACTTTACTACAAATTGTTTTCAAGGCATATTTCACATTGTTATCTACTAGTTGAAGCGATAACAGTACTTGTTTGTTATCTTCAATAACACTAGTATTTACATAATTACCAAATACAGCTGGGTTCATATTGCTACGCTATGGATAAAGCTTGTGGTTTCCTGCCTAATTCCACAATTCATCACTGCTTCTTATGTATGTATGTATGTATGTATGTATGTATGTATGTATGTATGTATGTATGTATGTATGTATGTATCTATATATATATATATATATTTATATATATATATATATATATATATATATATATATATATATATATATATATATATATATATATATGTGTGTGTGTGTGTGTGTGTGTGTGTGTGTGTGTGTGTGTGTTCATTTAATTGAGCCTTGTGTAACAATGAACCAAACATAAAGTCATTACTAGTTCCCAAGAGACACTTATAAATATTTACCGATATTCGTGAGCACGATGTAGATTTGTAATGGTTATGAGCTTGCTATGTATAAAACAAAGTGTCTTGATATTAGCATATTGTTCTTTGCAACACCCATGCTGAGGTACATTGTACACAATTGACTTAATATGGTCATAACAAAGTCTAAGCAGGACTTTACCTGGATAAATACAGTATGAATACTAGCAACCACAATCACCTGTTAATAATGTTTCACTGAGTTAAATTTCAAGAGAATGTCAACCTCATATGGAACAAATGGTTTTAGAAATTTAACTCCTTTGTATGAAAACTTATATATGTTGGAATATCATTTTAAACAATGTAAGATAAGTTGGATCATTTAAAAATGTAAATCTTCGGTGTTCTGGTATTCAATTTTCTGTCATCGTCCTCTTTTATTTATTTTGCTTCAATTTTAAGGTACACATGCGTATCGTTGTTAGGCAGCAAAGACTATCTTTATGCACATTAGCACAATACTCACATACATTTAATTCCGCCATAATTTTTACGTCATAAAACTGACGCTAATGTTTCTCAACAAAATAAAATGACCAATAAAATAACTGACATTCGCTTGACCAAATTTAAGTTTTAATTTTTTCTCTTGTTTGTTTTTATAATATATTTTAAAATTTTACAAATTATCTCCGAATAGAATATATTTATATAAGGCTTGAGGAAGGAGTAGGAGATGAGTTATAATGAGGGCTCAAGGGATGTGTATTAATGATGAGTCAGGGATGGGTTATAATGAGGAGTTAGGGGATGGGTTATAATGAGGATTCAGGGGATGGGTTATAACGATGAGTCAGTGATGGGTTATAATGAGGATTCAGAGAATGTGTTATAATGAGGATTCAGGAAATGGGTTATAATGAAGAGTCAGGATATGTGTTATAACGAGGATTCAGGGGATGCGCTATAATGATGATTTGGGAGATGAGTTATAATGAGGAGTCAGAGGATGGGTTATAATGAGGATTCAGGGGCTTGGTTATAATGGAGAGTCAGAGGCTTGGTTATAATGAGGAGTAGAGGATGAGTTATGATGAGGATTCAGGTGATGGGTTTTAATGAGGTGTCAGTGGATGGGTTATTATTGGTCAATGGATGAGTTATAACTATGAGTCAGGGGATGGTTTTTAATGAGGTGTCAGGGAATAGGTTATAATAAGGAGACAGGGGGTGTGTTATAATGATGAGTCAGGGATGGGTTATAATGAGGATTCAGGGTATGTGTTATAACGAGGATTCAGGGGATGCGTTATAATGATAATTCAAGAGATGTGTTATAATGAGGAGACAAAGGATGGGTTATAATGATGAGTCGGGGGATGGGTTATAATGGAAAGTTAGAGGCTTGGTTATAATGAGGAGTAGGGGATGGGTTATAATGAGATGTTAGGGGATGGGTTATTATGAGTCAGGGGATGGGTTATAACGATGAGTCAGGGGATGGCTTTTTATGAGGTGTCAGGGGATGGATTATAATGAGGAGACAGGGGATGTGTTATAATGATGAGTCAGGGATGGGTTATAATGAGGATTCAGGGGAATGGTTTTAATGAAGAGTCAGGGTATGTGTTATAATTAGGAGTCAAGGGATGCGTTATAATGATGATTCAGGGAATAGGTTATAATGAAGAGACAGAGGATGGGTTATAATGAGGTGTCAGGGGATGGGTTATAATGGAGAATCAGAGGCTTGGTTATAATGAGGAGTAGGGGATGGGTTTTAATGAGGATTCAGGGGCTGGATTATAATGAGGTGTCAGGGGATGGTTTTTAATGAGGTGTCAGAAGATGGGTTATAATGTGGAGTCTGTGGATACAGCTAAATCTGCTCCATAATGATATCAGAATAACAAATTAGACTGATCGGGGAATGGAGGGAAATGCACGACATTTTATGATCACTTGGAGGATCATTGTGTATCTTCCTTTTGGCATTCAATTTGTAAATTAAATTCGTCATACACGGAATTGGGACAATGTATGAATCTTTTATACTTCGCATAAAAGACAGGAGCATTTAGTTTAACATTACATGTATCACATACACATATGTGGTCATAGGAGAGGATTCAATTTCAATGCATTTGCCATAAAAGCAGGGCAAAACATATTCACACGCTATTATATCTTACTTTGTAAATGTATTGTATAAATGTAAACAATTTGTGTATAAGTCGTCAATCTCAAACGTCCACTTAATTGCTTTAATCATTTTTAAAACTAAATTGTGTATCATTAGGTAACATTTGGGCATTAGGACATTAATATGGATGTGTAATTTTTTAATTACGTTACAATTAATTATATGATGCTCATTGTGTTAAATAATAATGACCACCTTTTCTTTCTCAACATGTTTCTAATGCACCATAGTCAATATATTACTGCTTGTCACTCATTAATACAAGCCAAAGCTTTAAAATACAGAGAGGATATTTACGTGAAATGAGTGAATAACGAGCATATTCCATTCAGTAGATAAAAAACCTTTATGTTCACGAGTAGTGAGTTATTCACTCGCAGCAAGCAAATAAATTTTCTTTTATTCTGTACTCAAACGTAATGTCTATAAACAAGTATAACAACATAACGTATCAATGTTCATTTTGTATATCGCGAGACCATGTCATTAATTCACCTTTTTTTTTCTGCCATGTTTTGAGTATATTTTGAAAATATCGGTAAGAAAACAACTATCCTTTTTGACCAGAGGGAAAACATCACATAAAAAATGAAGAGAAAAGTATATGCACCTTGTGAGATTTTGAATTTGGTTCGTCTGCATAGGACGAGTCACACTTACCAATAGTCCAAGCAGCTCGGCGTTTAAAATTAACTGTTTTCTCGACCACATTGTTATGGGTGTCTATCGATAAAATATTTCTGGCATTTCAATCCAGTGGATTAAAATTATTTCTCTTGGAAGCTTCGTTAATTCACTGCCTAACTTAAAGCAAAATCAAACACAGATTCAG